GGTGATGTGGGATTCCTTAATAGGCAAAAGTACAAGCAACAGTGGGAGCTGCTGGAGAATTGTTCATTACCGGAACCATCCTGTCAGCTGTCTGCCAATGAATTTTCCTGCCATTGTTGTTATGAAATATTAGTAAACCCAACCACTCTAAACTGTGGACATAGTTTCTGCCGACATTGCTTGGCACTATGGTGGGACGCTTCCAGGAAAACAGAATGTCCAGAATGCAGAGAAAAATGGGAGGGATTTCCTAAAGTTAACATTGTCTTAAGGTACTATCAAACTTTGAATGCATCTTGTCTTTGAAATGTCTTTCAGATGCTAAGAATAAAAAGAAATGAACTCCTATTGAATGTAACAAAATGTTATGTATAATTACATAATTAATTTCATAAATAACTATTTTAGTTTTGGATTTTAAGTGGGAATGTGCAATCACCTAAGTTTTTCCAAGTGTCAGTGTTTGCTTGCAGGACTGGTATTGCTCAACACAGTTCACAGTGGTGTTTACTCAGCTTAGTTTTAGCTGGTTGGTGGAATGTTGTTGACTGTTGCAGTGACAAATTTAGATTTTGTCAATATAAAACTCTGCTAATACATTTTTTGGTAGCCAAAACCACAGCCAAACTGTTGTGGTGCTGCTGTCACTATGTATTATGGTCACCTTCTTGCCTTGGCTAGTTATCATTGATCACCCACGGGTAAAATGTTTTAATCTCCTATCTCTGTGGATAAAATGTTCAAAACACAATTACCGTAAATGTTCTGCTAGTCAGTATGTATACCATCTGTATTGCAAAGTTCTGAATTTTGTACAAGTTTTTTTTTTGTCTACTAATTACCCTGGAAACAGTCTTAGAAATACAAAGAAAGATCTTTCAAAAATATCAATTGAAATTAGTTGTCTTTGTACTAATCTTAATGGTCCTGTGATGGTACTGGCCATGAAATTGCTTTTAAACACAACCTACTTCTATATTCAATAAATGCAAGTGCTTTTGTACAAATTGTACATGAACATTACCAAAGTAAGTTTGTTTCTTTCATATATGGTATATAATTAACAAAGCCCTAGCTGTGACACCGTCTCCAATTTATTATTATTGTTACACTCTTTTGTAACTTTGCAAGTCTTGATCAGATTCTTTGCATTTTTTTCAAGTGCTGTCTTTAACTAAAATCCCACCTACGAACACTAGGGTAGGAAGCAGTGGGATAGTGGTAATATCCAGAAGCCAAGGTGAATGACTTGGAGACGTGTTCAAATTCCGCCACAGCTAGTAAAATTGGATAATTTGGATTATAAGGCTAGTCTCAAGGACCAAGTAATGAAATGACCATCAGCTGTCATTTTTAAAAAAAAAAACACCTGGTTCACTGCTCCTTCCAGTAATGTGCTTAACTCTTAATTGCCCTCTGAAATGCCTATTTAATTCAAGGGCATTTGGGGATGGGCAACAAATGTTGGGCTTGCCAGCAATGCCTGATTCGTGTGCAAAAATAAAGGAAGTGAGAAGAACCATCTTGTTTACAGTATCTGCAAGTATGAGGTACATTGCTGTTATTTCCTTGCAAGGAATTTGAATGGAGTGAAATGTTGAAGTTGGACATTGAAATTATTAGTCTCATGAATGAAACTCTACTTCACTGTTTTTAACATTTTCCCCGGCTTAATTTGATTTTGTGCCAGTTTTTCCTTGATCTGTCTTTCAGGCTGGTTGGGGTAACGTAAGAGGGCTTGGGCTTCTTCCATTTCATTTCAAAAAGGGATCTGTAGAAAAATAAATATTGTTCTAAGTACATGCAGCCTAATCTTTTTAACAATTTAAATTTTCTTCTTGGGCTAACTATTTTAACTTATTTTTATTTTGATAAAAAGTTGAATGGTGGACTAATCCAGAAATGTATAAATGTTGGATTATTTGATTACTTACAAGTTTTGGAATTTTACATTACAAGGACTCCTCTTTTTTTTTCCTTCAATTATTTTTCACCTGTCATCTCCTGATAATGTTGACTGCTGCTGGGCCAAAGATGCATGGGCACCAGGTTCCCTCCAGGTCTTGGTCTAATTGACCACTATTGAAATTTAAGACTTAGGATTGAGCTGTAACAGGCTCTTTAAACTGTCAAAGATGTAACAACTGAGCCTTTTATCTTCAATCAGTGATAAAGCATGGAATTTTCCTGTTGGGTGAAGAGTTCAGATAATGATCTGCAGCCAATTGTTGGAGCCTTAGCTTAAATTTTGAATGCGGCTCAGGCCAGGAATTGAAATCTGTTTGACTCAATGTCATGAGAGTAAATTTACCAGTGAGCCATTTAGAAGATGAGGAAGCTGTTAAAAATAAAATTGCCCCTTTCTAGGTTGCACGGTAATTAACTCTTACCTATTTTATAACCAATCACCTGCGAGGAAATGTAGAAAGCCAACAGGTTTTCAATAATTATTCTTATTCATACTAGTTACTTCTTGATTTACCACTTTTCAGCCTTTATGAAGACCTCGCCTTTGGCTGTTTTCCCCCTTCAGCTGGGACTTCTGTTTGTTTTTAAATGATGGGGAGGAAAAAAATTAAATATTCAGGTGTCTCTGGGTCATGTATATTTGTCTTGTCCTGTTCTCCTAATCCAGGGATGCTGTTGAGAAATTGTTCCCTGATGATGTTAAACGACGACAGAAGGAGATGCAGAACAACATAAAAATCTCAAGTAGCATTTTGGCTTTCCAGAAATATGGTAATGAACAATCAAAAGCTATCAACAACTCGGGTCAATGGCGACAAGGAGGTGGCTTTTTCTCAGGAGTACTAACTTCTCTAACTTGTGTGGCAGTAAGTATCCATTCATGGTTCTGTTATACCGTTTTGTGGTGTGTGTATCATCTTGTGCTCCAGTTAACTAGTTAAATCACCCTTGGTTTGTACTCTGAAGGTGCTCTAAATCAATGACATTTGCCAACCTCTTGATTTGATTGCTAAAGTTACTGCAGCATGTACAATCTGTTTTTATAAATTTCTTTTTAATTGGTAGAAAAATGTTAGTACCCCTTTCCACTTTGGGTGTCCTCTACTAAGTAAACAAACCGATTCTGCTTTGGAGAATTATTCAAGGAGTAATGATTTTTCCATGTAATTTTGTTAATTTAAAAAAATGAATCTTTCATCTGTTTTTAACTGCATCAATAGTATGGAAATTTAATTGCAACTACAATATATAAAATGGGGTTCAGTACAAATTTTTAAAAGGCTGTTAAACACCAAACTTAACTGAAGTTAGCAACTTTTTTGCTCATTTGGTATTGATATTATATGTAAAGAGAGCCTCATTTTAAAAGCAGTGTTTTCCTTATTTGCACAATATCTGACCTAGCTTATCTAAATGTAAGCACCTGCCACATCAATTGTCGAGTTTCAGAACCATAGCACTTGATAAGATGAAATGTCATTGAATTGGTTAGCTAGCCCAAAAGAACAAGGCTATTCGGCCCTTCAGGTCTCCTTAGCCATTCAATTAGATCATTTTCTGTTCTAAATTCCAAATTTCCATCTGCCCTGAAATAGTCTTTAATTCCCTTGCCTAATAAGAGTCTATCCACATCTGTCTTAAAAATATTCAATGACCTTGTTTCTGCTGTCATTTGGGGCTGTGTTCCAAAGTCGTGCATTTCTTTGAGAGAGAACATTTTTCCTCATCTCTGCATTAAAATGTTGACCCCTAGTTTTAAACTGCATTCCCAGGTTTCAGACTTGTTCACAATAACCTGCTTTCCACATCTACTTTGTCCTAACCGTGCTTATAACTCTAAGCAAATCATCCCTCACTCTTCTAAACTCCAGTGAAACTAAATCCAGCCTGTCGAATCTTTCATCCTAGGCTGACCTGTTCAATCCATCTAGAAAGCCACCTCCAAGGCATTTACATCCCAATGTTTTGTGGCTCATGCACTAGAGCACCTAGATCCCTTTGCACCTCTGAATTCTGCAGTTGTTCTCAGATTAAATAAAACTCTGCTTTTTTATTCTTCCTCCAAAGTGAACAACTTCACATTTTTCCATATTCACTCATCTATTAGATCTTTGCCCACTCAATTAACGAGGATGCACATCAATAATGGAGAGATTATATCATCTTCTCAACATAATTGCCCACCTATGTTTGTTATCTACAAATTTAACCACCATGCCTTTGTTTCCTGCAGCTGAATCATTACATAAATTGTAAAAAGATGAGGGCCCAGCCCAGGCCCTTGTAGGACTTGTTTGTCACATCCTGTCAATCAAAATATGGCTGTTCTGTGCATACTGTCTGTTTTCTGCAAGCCAACCAAACTTCTATCCATGTTTAGTATTTTACTTCTATACCATGAGGTCCTACTTTTCCTTTTGCGTCACCACCTAGAAATTCAAGTATGTCACATCAATGGGCTTCCCTTTCTTCACAGCATACTTTACTTGTTCAAAGAATTGCAATAGATCAATCTCGCTTTCAGAAAATCATCCTGACTATCCCACGTGCCCAGTTAGAACCGTATTGATTGATTCTAAAACCTTCCCCGTTGCAGACGTCAAGATAACTGGCCTTTAGTTTCCTGTTTCCTGCCTCCCTTCTTGTTAGAAGGGTTATATTTACTGCTTTCTAGTCTCATGAAATCTGTCCTCCATGTAATGAATTTTGAGATTTAACATCAACACATCAACCACCTCATTAGCTACCTCTTTTAAGACCTTAGGAAATTATTCTCCACTCATTCAGTTTACTCTACCATTTTCCTGGTGATTCTAATTTTGCCAAGTTCCTCTCTTCCTTCAACTTTCTAATTTATGGGTATTCTATTCTAAGAAGAAAACCAAAATATTTATTCATTTCACAGCTTTTTCTTTATCTACTGTTGATACTTCATTCTTACCCTCCAGAGAACCAGCCCTCCATTTCCTGTTTTCCTTTTCAGGTACTTGTAGAAATTTTTGCTATCTGGCTTTGCATTTCTCATTTGTTTCTCTCGTGCTTTAATTTTTTTTTTTGTCCTGGTTAACATTTGTCATTTTCAGCCATTCTTTATATTCTGACTGGTCATGTGACCTGCCACTTTGCACACTTCTGCTTTTTCTTCAAGTTTACCCTCCTTAACCGTGAGTGGTGGGTCACTCCTTTGACAGTTTTCTTTTTAGTGAGAAAGTATTTATTCTGAGCATTCTGAGTTATCCCTTTAAATGCTTACCACTGCATTCTAAGTAACATAGGAAAGGGATTTATCATTGAAGATTTTATTCCCAAACATTTAATTTTCAATTAAGTGGGCTTGACTGCAATGGAATTTAGATGTTCTGCTTTTAGTTCTTTTTTGATTTTGCACAAACGCTGATAAATTTCCAAATGTGAGATGTGAACTAACAAAGTTTATAAATGATGGCTAGGGATCTGTGCTCTCGGCTCAGAATTTTTCTATAGTTTATTTGAATGGGAGGAAGGAAACGATAGGTAAATCAATGCACAGGTAAAATCCCTGCTTAAAGTGACACTTTTCTTTTGATTTTTAATGAACTATATTACTATTTGTTTCATGTGTACCTAATTCCTGTATTCTTCAGCTTTAAACAATGAATCCTTTAAGTTTATGGTATAACGTTGCATTTAACAAAACCTTACTGGACATTCAAAGTTATGAATGCTTAGAGGTAGGACATTAAATAGTGATGTTATTTAAATTGCTATCACAGGGACATTAGCACTGAAGTTTTTTGGCTGCTTCTTGTTCTAGGTGGTGTTTCTAGTTTATCTCTGGAGCAGAGAAACTGAACAAGATCTTTTAGTACACAAACCTGTGACTAAATGGACTGCAAAGGAAGTGACTCTCTGGTTAGAGCAGTTGGGCCAATGGGCTACTGTTTACAAGGAAAGGTTTTTACAGGAAGAAGTTAATGGAAGGTGAGGCTTACCTTATAAATCCAGCTATGCAAGCTCATTGCCCCTAGTGCAGTTATGGACTCGGGCCTTTGGCAATTCTAATCACATTGAGAGGAACTTCAGGATGTTTCTGTCCTATAATTTTATATCGTACATGAAGCTAAGCAGTATATATCTCCGATCCAAACTGTAAGCTCTTAAACTGTCTAGATTGTTGAGCTACTTGTCTTGCACTATTAGTCATAGAAGACTCATACAGGAAATTTGCTTTCCTACTGAAGCCATCTCCATTGCTAGCCAAAAGTGTTTTGTGCCAAAGTCTTCCCTATCAAAGTTGTAGGTGTTTGGAATTCAATTCACATCCAGTGTAAGTGGTTTTCAGAAGATCATTTTTAACTAGAATTTAGGGGATTAAGGGGATCCAAAGTAGCAAGATTCTGAATAATTTTAAGATTTAATCCTAATCTATACAAAAGGCAACTGATTTAATCTTTTCAGACAAAGTTACACCAGAGCAGCGTAGTATAGTTCAAATATTGAAGCCAATTTGACAAGGTTTAGCCAATTATGTTGTTGAAAATCTCTTGTCCAGATTGTTCAAATACTTTCTGTTCTTCCATTGAATATATTTCAGGCTATTATTGACTCTAGGTGAAGAAGAGTTTTCAAAGCCTCCTTTCAACATTGAGAGACAGCTTCATAGAAAAGCCATACTCATGGAATTGGACAATGTGAAAGCACTTGGAGTGAAACCCCCTCAGAATTTATGGGAATACAAGGTAACTGTTTTTGAAATTTAAAGTCTGTTAGTGTTTTTTTTCCCCCTAGTATGCAATGAATGAAAATTTTGATGATGGGAGATATAAATATGTTAATCTGATGTTGGCACCAAAGAGGTATTTGTGCAATGTGAAGTGCATTTTGCATATCATCATCTGAGGTACATAATACTGTGGTTCTCTTTAAATTGATTACAAATAAAGTAACATTTGGGTTGCAGTTTTTGACTCGGATTATATTCTGACAGATTTATTGGTATTCTTGGCTTTTTTTTTGTAGTTTTAATTATCTAGAAATAACTAAATTCAGTTTTTTTTAATCGCTGTTGAATCCAAATGTTTATTTTTTCAGGCAATGCATGTAGGCAAGTCACTGTTTCTGCTGTATGCACTGAAAAGCTCCCCACGGTTGACCATGCTGTATCTCTACCTGTTTGATTACTCAGAAATATTTCTGCCACTTATTCACACCATTTCTCCTGAGAAAACCGAGACAACTGAGGATGCAGATATTTTTCGCAAATACTGGGTAAGGAGTACAGGCATTTTGCTTAAATGAAACAATCGTTTAAGGAAATAATGTATTTATACTAATGAATTTACTTCATTGTTAATGTTTTTTCTGCAGTACTATAACCTTAAGCAACCAAAAGGCATAGAAGTTAATTCCTTTGATTATTTTCTGAACCTTTGTATACCCTTACTCTTCACCTTTGCACGTGACATTGTACTTGCATATGTGGTGAGATGAGGATTAATTTGTTCAAGGTTTTTAGATTTAATCCCTCAAAATTTGTAGGATTATCACCTTTCTGATTACCTTACCCATACCTACAGCATCATTTGGTAACTTCTGAGTTTTAATTTCCTCTAAACTGGGTTATCTTTTCATTTTTACTGGGAATGTCTTGGAGATTTTTCATAATTGACTTTTTTGGGTTTGATTTGCAGGTCTAGGCAACTCTGATACTTGACCAAGTTGACTGTCTCGTGTTGGCTAGAGAGCAAAAATAAGAATCTTTATTCAACAGTGGAAGCTCAATGTCATCTAAATTTTTCTCACATGACTTGTCTATACTCATTGCCCTTCCTCAGTTCTCTCTCCCTCATTATTAGCCATAAGTTCACCATACCTCATTTCTTTCTTTCTTTGAATGTCACTGCCAGATTGTCTCTGTCTCTGAAATGCTCCACTCCTTGATTTGCGTCAAAAATACAAAGTAAATATTGCTGCTTGTTAAGTCAATGGATGGTAATCTGGAACAAAATTCAGGTCATTTCATTACTCCAGTCTGAGCCACAAATGTAAATTATGACATGAAATTAGTAATTGAGTATCATGTGGAACTTTGGTTTCATTGGTCATTGCTGTGCTGTGAGATTTGAGTGCTATTTAGTTGCCCTGTTTTTATTCAGAGAACTTGACTTACCATTTTAGCCTTATGCTACTACAAAAGCTTAATCATCCTAAGTGGGATGTAAGCCATTGGATCTAGGGAGTCAGTCAGGAAATTAATTGCTGTTTCATATTCTGCCCACTTTTCTGGTGGTTGGCTCACCAAAACACTCTACTTATTCATGTGTGCAAAGGAAGAACATGTGCTTTTTGCCACTTGTGTACTCTTTGAACAGCAGATTTAAGAACCAGCTGCTGAATACTGCTTTTAGAAGCTGGCAATGAGAGCACTGAAGTAAAACTTTTAAGGGGACCTTTAAACATTTGGATATGCACCCTTATGCAATATTCACTCAAAAGAGAGTTCTTAAAATTATTTTTAATAGGGCAACATACTTGGGCCTGCCTTCCTCCTTTGATATTGCTCTTACCAGAGATCGTTTCATACAACTCCTTGACAGGTAAGCCAGGGCATCTCCAGGGTATTAAGCATTTTGAATATATATTCCTGGATACCAGTAATGCACAGAAAGATGGAGTTGACTAGTACTCTGTTGACCCCTGTAAAAATGCATCATGTGTCCCTATGAGTAACCATCTCGGAATCCTGTCTGAATGCCATTTGATTGTTTTGAGTCTCTAATACATTTTAGAACAGGTTGCAGTTCGCATCATGATGTCCCAAGGTGCTGCTTTTTGACTTTAAGCAACTTAAGATGCTGGGACAAGTAACCATGTATAGTTGTCTTTTATTTACAAATGTAAGTAGTTTGACACTGTTTGTTTACTGAATTACACTCCAAATTATGTTGTGAAATTTCACTTATGAAAACTGTTGATGGATTTTGATCAATTTGTACAGTTACTTTGTCCATTTTTCTTTCCTAAAAAGTCTGAAGATATCAGCTTGAAGCAATGGGCTGAGTTCCTTGTGAAATACTCCCTAATTCCATATCAGTTAATTGCTGAATTTGCTTGGGATTGGTTGGATATGCACTACTGGACGTCACGTTTTATAATTGTGAACGCAGTACTTCTATCAGTCCTGGAAGGTTTTGCATTCTGGAGACTTTGGATGAGAGGAGGATTCAGGTATGTAAAAGTTGAAGCTGCTGCTTTTGTGGTGTTAATGAGTAACAAAGTGATTCTGTTATGATACCTGTTGAGTGTTCTGTCCCAAAATGTCAAAAGATAACGTCTTAACTTGTAGCAGGTACAGAAAAATAATCGAGAGGTGAATAGTATTCTGTAAAGAATATATATTTTAAGTGTTTTTAAAAAAAAAAGCTTAAATTCTGTTTAATTTAAAACAAAAATTGATTTAAACCAGTCTACGTATTAATCAGTTGTGAATCTTACTACCTTTTTTATTCGCAGATATCGATTCATTTATAGAATCCATGCAGTGTGGAAGCAGGCCATTTGGCCCAACGAGTCCACACTGACTCTGAAAAGCATCCCACCAGACTCACCTGTCCCATCTCTGTAACCCTGCATGGCTAATCCATCTAGCCTACACATCTCTGGACACTATTAATTATTGTAAAATGTGTAGTTTCATTTATGGATTTTCAACTTTCTTTCATTATTTCACCCTAATAAAAGACGTGATGAATTTGTTACTTAATTAGTTCTTGCCTGCCTTGACCCTTCAGCATTAATAGAAATAGCTAAAAAATCATCCTTGTTTGCCTAGCTGTAGGTGACTACCATTGCATGCCTTCTTATCCAAATACAGCCAGGGCAAGTCCATCATTGGCTTGGCTTTATTCTCTGGCGCAGATACTTTCTGATCGACAGAGAATTATCCATTGCTGCATTCTCTGCATCTACAACAATGATGATGTCCATCTATGACACAAGATTAGCTTTCACCATGTATGCTAACAAATGCTATTGACTGTTTCACCATCTGTGCTTTTAGACTGGTGTTTCATATCAAATTTGGAATAGTTCACAACTTAAAGTTGCCATCTTTGCTTTCAACCACAAGCTCTGCTACCTTGCAAACTGATTTTATTCCATTCTTTTCTGTGGCCACTGTCTTGGGCCATTTATCTTGTTCTGTTTTCAGCTGAGCTGAGGTTAGCTCATTTGTCTGGATGGCTGGTTTGCAATGCAGAGTGCCAACAGCATGAGTTTATTTATTACACTGGTTGAGGGTACCTTGAAGGACTCTCCTTCTTGATCTGTCTCCTGCCCTGAAACATGGTGACCCTTGGGTTAAACCACGATTAATTGCGTCTCTTTTGAAAGAGCAGCCTAGGCAACTTTATCTTTTCAATATCCCACATGCTATTAGTTTTGTAGCTTTTAAACCTGTTCTAAATTCGCGAACAATGAATTGTGCAAATAATTGCCGCATTCTCTTCTAGGGCTATTCCTCAGAAAATGTGGAGTCACTTCTGGAAGGTATCAAGCCAAGGAATCCTTGTTGCTATTTTGTGGCCAATAATTCCTCAATTTGTTTGTGACTGTTTATTTTACTGGGCTTTGTACTTCAATCCAATCATAAATATTGACCTGGTAGTCAAGGAAATCCGACATTTAGAAACTGAAGTCCCATGAACTTGTGACTGGAATGGTGCCTCAGAGCAGCTTATATTTAAAAAAAAAAAACTATTAATGGTGTACATCTTTGTAAATACACATTCATGGTGTCTAGGTACTGTATTTGCAAACAGATTGAAGCAAATATTCAGAAATTACTGTATAATTCAGGTTTAAAGAACTGAAATTTTAAATCTGTATTTCTATTTCAACTGTGCAGAAGGTAATATGTTATGACTGTGGACTGACTATCATTCTGTCAGAATATTATTCAGTAAAAACTACTGCAAGCAACTGATTTCCTCCAATTATAACTTCTAAATTTCTCCCTTGCCTGAATGTGTTTCCTCCTTTCAAACTTCACCCAGGAAAACCTTTGCTTTTCCATCTGGGGGAGGTCATCTTATATAATTCACTAATACTTGCAGTTCTGCAAACTGTGTGTACACAAGTCATCTTTGTTTCCTTGTGTGTCAAGGGCTAAAGTACATCATGTATCATAATGTAAATTGTGGACAGAAGACAAAGTTTCAACCCTTGTATTTAACATCTGTCTTATTTATTTAACTGAATTTTTGAAGTTGAATATGAAATCTAAATTTTTGTAATCAATTTGCTGAATACTCTATTTTTGCATTTCTTTTATGGTTAATTGTACTAGAATACTACATTGTTAAAGTGGTAAAGCTGGTTGAATGTGAATGGTAACCCACAATCTTGTTTTGTATCATTGAAATTATCAATTTCAGAAAAGTAACTAGTTTTTTTAAATGCCTAAATTTGACTTTTTACAGAAGATTAAAATTGTTGTTTGTCACTTGCATCTGTCTCATTAAAAAGGAAATGTGCAACATGTCTAGTATTTCAAAAGGTTTGTTTGATGTTTCAAAGACTACTAGGGGTTTTATTTTTATTTCCAAGATTTTCTGTTTTATGTTCAAGTATTTAAACCCTTTTATAGGTGAAATGTACCAAATCATAAAATCTCAGTTTCTTCAGCATCTTCTGTACTAATTCTACACTAGTCCACTTTCCATCATTTGGTCCATACCCTTGGATGAGCATGTCTAATGTCATAACATTCGAGTACTTTTAAAGGCTGTGGCCTTCCTGCCTCCACTATCGTCCCACACGGTGCATTCTAGATTCCCACCATCCCCTGGGGGTGAAAATGTTTCCAAGAATAACCTCTGAACCTCCTGTCTTTCACATTTCAAAATCATACCCCTTTGTTATTGACCCGTCAATTAAGGGGGTTAGCTGATTTCTGTCCACTGTGTCCATGCCCCTTATGCATATCAATCAGGTCCCCTCTCAAATGAAGAAAACAACCTAAGCTTATTCAACTTCTGTTTGTAGATGAAATAATCTATACTAGGTGATACCCTGGTGAGTCTCCTTTAAAAATTCTGCCAGTGCAGTCACATCCTTCCTATAACGTGGTGCCTAGAACTGCACATATTACCTGCCTGCTTTTATAATCCACTGCTGAGAGGCATACAAGACACTTACCTTTGACTAACATATTAACCTGTCCCACTGCCTTTAGTGATCTGTGGATAAGCACTCCAAGATTCCTATTAAATTGCATCTGCCACTGATTTGTCCATCTGATCAATCCATTGATACCATCCTATAACTGAAGACCTTCTTCCTCACTGTCAACTCATGTCCTTTAAGGATGGCAGTTTCCTTCCCTAACCTGGTCTGGCCTAAATGTGACTCCAGACACAGTAATGTGATTGACTCATAATTGCCCTCTGGATAATTAGGGATGGGCAATAAATGCTGGCCTGGCTAGCAATGCCCTCATCCTGTGATCAGGTGTTTGTTTGAATTCATTCAATCTGTCATCCATAAACTTATCTTCTTGTACGCTCGCTCTCTCGTGTGTGTTCTCGCTCTCTTCACCCCCCCCCCACAAGCGCTCAGATACTTCTCTATCATTGGGTATAATATTTATTGGAATGCAGCAGTGATCCCAGTAGTATGCCACTGTACACTTGACTGATCACTAATAAACTACCACCACCATCTCTCTCCTACCACTAAGCCAGTTTTGGATCTGGGTTACTCTGGATCCCATGTGCTTTTATTTATCAATCTCTCATGTGGAAAAGGCTTTGCTGACGTCCATATAAACTACATCAACTGCACTGCTCTCCTCCACAGTCGCCTTATTTGTTAGGCATAATCTTCCCCCTGACAAAGCTATGCTTACTATCCCTGATCAAGCATTACTACTTCATGTGGAAATAATTTCTATCCATCAGAATTTTCTCCAATAGTTTCTCTTCTAGTGATGTGAGACTCATTAGTCTGTCATTCCCTGATTTACCACTACCACCTTTCTTGGAAAGTGGAGCCATGTTAACTGTGCTCCAATCCTCTGGCAGCTCCCTTGTGGCCAGGGAGGAATTAAAGTTAAAATAAAGGTTAAAGCTTGTGTAATTTCCTCCCACCTCAGCTTGGGCTGCAACTCATTTTAGACCTGGGATTTGTCTACTTTTAAGCTTGCTAAAATCTTTGAGCATATTGCCTTTGGAAATGAAGAGTTAATGTCCTCTCAGCCCCTCTTCCTGAATTCTATACCTACATCCTCCTTGTTCAGCAATTGTGTTGCGTCAGCGAAACCTTTAAGATTTTTTTCAGGGTGTGGGCACGGTTAGCTGGACCAGCATTTACTGTCCATTAGATTGATCCGACAGGATTTCCCCTTAAATTGTAAAAAGATATCGATTATATTAAGGGAATGTAGAAAACTCTAGTAAACATTTTTCAATAAGTGTGAAGCCATCATGTTGGGTCCAAATATAGAACCAGATACTTTCTAAGTAATGGAAAAGTAGAAAGCAAGATCTTAAAAAGACTTGGTCCACATACTTGGTAAATATCATGGACAGGTACAGGAAGTAATTCCAAAAGTAAATGGAATGATGGGCTTTATATTAACAGAATTAGAATATGACTGGTAGAAGGGTATAGTGAACAAGGAGAAAAGTGGAGTTAAGATCACAACATGATCTGCTATGATTTTATGAAACTGCAGAGCAGTTTCAAGAGGCTTTTGGCCCTACTTCGTATGTTCGTATGATATGCTACAACTATACAAAGCTGTGATTAGTCCATACCTCCTGTCATTTAAAGCTGGGAGGCAATGTTCCCATCTCTGACTCAGAGACTATGGGTTGAAGTCCAACTCCAAAGTCTGAGGCTCCAACTCCTGCCTGCCTTCTCAGATAGACATAAACAATCCCACTGCACTATTTTAAGTAAAAATGGGGGCAATCTCCCCTGTGGTCCTGGCCAATACTGATCCCTCAGAAAACATCACTGAAATGAATGATGTGGTTGGAAAGTCTCGGATTAGAGGATGTAGTCCAAATGTTAGAAGCAGATGGAGGTACTGAAATTAGGAAACTATACCAAAGTAGTGGAAATTTGGAACTTTTTTCTGAGCAGCAGTTGATTGTTAATTTTAAACCGAGTTTTGTAGAATCCTATAGTGCAGAAAGAGGCTGTTCTGCCCATCAAGTCTGCACTGACCCTCCGAGGAGCAACCCAGCCAGACTCAGCCCTATGCTAGCCCGACAACCCCACATTTACCATGGCTCAGCTACCTAGCCCGCACGTAGAGTCATAGAGATGTACAGCACAGAAACAGACCCTTTGGTCCAACTCGTCCATGCTGACCAGATATTCTAAATAAATCTAGTCTCATTTGCCAGCATTTGGCCCACATCCCTCTAAACCCTTCCTATTCATATACCCATCCAAATACCTTTTGAATGTAATTATACCAACTTCCACTACTTCCTCTGGCAGCTCATTCCATATATGCACCACTGTCTGCATGTTGCCCCTTAGGTCCTTTTTAAATTCCCTCTCACCTTAAACCTATGCCCATTAGGTTCTTGCGAAGATTTGTAGCTTGTGTTGTGGGTAAGGTTGTTGACTTGCTCGCCAAGCTGGCTGGTTATAGTTCAGACGTTTCGTAACCATGCGAGGTAACATCATCAGTGTAGCCTCCAATGAAGCGATGTTGTTGTACTCTGCTTGGTATTTATATGATCTGGTCTGTTGAGGTGTTTTGTGTCTTTTATAGTTCTTTTTGGCAAGGGTTTGTACATGGGGTCTAATTCCACATGTTTATTGATTGCATAATGGGTGGAGAACCAGGCCTCTAGGAATTGCCGTGCGTATCCATGGTTGGCTTGAGCTAGGATGGTCACGTCGTTCCAGTTAAATTGATGGCCTTCATTGTCCGAGTGCACTGAAGTGAAGAAAAGTTCATTGTGTCGTTTTGCTGCTAGTGTTCATGTATCCTGATGGCTAGCTTTCTTCCTGTCTGGCTGATATAATGTTTTTGGCAGTTCTTGCCCTGTATTTTCTACACTATGTTGGTTCTGAATGTCATGGGTATAGGGTCTTTGGTCCTTGTGAGTGTTTGTCATAGTGTGGCTGTGGGTTTATGTGCTATCCCGATTCCTCGTGGTCGTAGGAGTTTTGTTGTCAGTTCCAATATGTTCTCAACATACGGTAGTGTGGCTGGTGTATTAGGGTGTATTGTGTCTTCTTGGTGTGGTCTATCTAGTAGGCACCTGCGGATGAAGTTGGTGGGGTATCCATTGATAGCAAAGACCTTGTATAGGTGCTCTACCTCCTTGCGAAGTTCAGGTGTTTTGCAGTAGGTTGCAACCCATTTGAATAGTGTCCTAACGCTTTTTTTGTGGACGTTGGGGTGACGTCAGTGTGGGTTGCCTTCCTGTTTACTGTAGATTGGAATTCCCCATTCGTCATTCGTTCTACCCTGACATCTAGTTGTAGCTCACGTTGTGGTTGAGGTTGTTGACTTGCTCACCAAGCTGGCTGTCTATAGACTAGACTCACAAGTTAGCTGATGACACAAAGGTTGGTGAAGTTGTGGATAGTGTGGAGGGCTGTTGTAGGTTGCAACAGGACATTGACAGGTTGCAGAGCTGGGCAAAGAAGTGGCAGATGAAATTCAACCTGGAAAATTGTGAAGTGATTCATTTTGGATGGTCGAATTTGAATGCAGAATACAGGGTTAATGGCAGGATTCTTAGCAGTGTGGAGGAATAGAGGGATCTTGGGGTCCACGTCCATAGATCCCTCAAATTTGCCACCCAAGTTGATAGGGTTGTTAAGAAGGCATATGGTGTGTTGGCTTTCATTGGCAGGGGAATTGAGTTTAAGAGCTGTGAGGTTATGCTGAAGCTCTATAAAACCCTGGTTAGATCACACTTGGAATATTGTGTTCAGTTCTGGTCACCTCATTATAGGAAGGATGTCGAAGCTTTAGAGAGGGTGCAGAGGAGATTTACCAGGATGCTGCCTGGAATGGAGGGCAGGTCTTATGAGGCAAGGTTAAGGGAGCTAGGGCTTTTCTCTTTGGAGTGAGAAGGATGAGAGATGACTTGATAGATGTGTACAAGATGATGAGAGGCATAGAGTGGATAGCCAGAGACTTTCTCCCAGGGCAGAAATGACTACTATGAGGGGGCATAATTTTGGAGGAAGGTATAGGGGATATGTCAGAGGTAGGTTCTTTACACAGAGTGGTGGGTGCATGGAATGCGCTGCCAATGGTGGTAGTGGAGTCAGATACATTAGGGACATTTAAGCGACTCTTGGATCAGCACATGGATGATAGCAAAATGTAGGGTATGCAGGATAGTTTTATCTTAGAGTAGGATAATAGGTCGACACAACATCATGGGCTGAAGGGCCTGTACTGTGCTGTACTGTTATATGTTCTATGTTCCACTTTCAACGAACTATGAACCCACACTCCAAGGTCTCTTCATTCAGTAACTCTCCCCAGGACCTTAC